TACTCAGAAATGCATTTTCCTTTTTACATTGGATGAATTTAATACAAATAATTGCTCAGTAATAATACAGCCCCAGAATTAATGTTAATACTTTTTTACTTATGAATAAGAATAGTGTCTGAATAGGCTCACTTGCCCATTGCACTCCAAAAGTCTAAACCAAAAAAGGGTAATACCTTCCATATCACCAACACCATGGATCTGTGTTACTAGTGCAGTCACTAACATTGTGCGACACCTTAGCCACAGACGTACGCTCGTATGATCTTGTGCTGTTATACTGTGAGGCAGTCGAACATCTTCAACATGAGCGTCCTAATAATTTCCAAAAGCAAGAGAAATGTTACTTTCCGAGTCAACTACTTTACTACAAACAAAGCAACAGGGCAGCATCAGTCTAAAATAAATCAAATACAAATATATTACAAATAATTACATAATTATAACCAGAAGTTAATTTGAAAGGTAGGCACATATTTTTTTAACAACAGGAGTCCAGTTATTATTTAACTTTTGATCTATAGGAAAAAAAAACAATTGTAACAAATGGAAATTAAACCAGCTTTTATGGGAGAGTCCATAAATATATCCATATACTGTATGTGTCATGAAGAATAATTTTAACAGTTTGGACTTTATTCCTCTCAAACAGGAACATTACACAAAACTCTAAGGCACATAACAGTCTAATTGTAGAGCAGGATCAATATCAAGTTCTGGTACCTCACTAGTAACTAAAAAGAAATTTTTAATTTTTGATTTCTAGTTTTTAGTGTTTCTGGTGATTAGAAACAAATATTAGTGTAATATAGTACTGGAAGTGTTTGGGAGAATTCTCAGCTCAACTCCCTGTGCCATCTTCATGTATTGTAAACAGTCTTTCTATTACTAAAATTCTATAGTCCATATTCTAAAGATTTGTTCTAGCAAGCAATAAATGAACACTGCACCACCTGTGTTTTACTTACACAAAAAATCATCATGAATGACTTGCATTGATGCAATTGAGGAAAAAAATAGCCATAACTCAGTTACAGGCTACAGGGCAGTCCTCAGAAGATGTAGGAGCAAGTGCAGAAAGACAGAAGACCTTGATATGCAACACAGACAGAGAAAAATTACACTGCATGCGACAAAGTCCAGTCTTGTTATGCATGTTACAAAATCTGGCCTCACTGCTCAATTGCTCTGTCCATGTGAGTCAGTTTGACTTGCTGTGTGCTCGAGAGTGACTGTGTGGTGTATAACCAATAGGTCTTGTACAGTGGCTTTCCAAAGGATAGGTTAGTATCCCTGTGTGTTAGACAACAGGAGTCAGCTGAAATCTTGCTAAATTTGGAACACAGCAATGACGTGAACTGGTCTGTTTGGCTCTTTAAAAGAGGATACCCTGGAGTAGGTTTTCAATCAAAAAAACCTAAAATACCTTAACTGAATAAAAGATTTTCACCTGATAGCTATTTTTTCGACTTTGTTTGTTTGGGTTTTTTTAAACAAAAGGAGAATTTTTGATGCTGGCATTTGAGAGTATACAAATAAAAACTGTAACTCCTAACCACATACAAATTGAAATGATGATTATAGATATATTGAATATACTATAGGCAAGCAGGTAACTGAAGCATGCCATACATCATTTTTTCCCCAGGTAACCATGTTATACGGATGACTGCTATGTTCTAGTATTCTGAAAATTACTCAACACTTAATACAACACTTCACATACTAAGAAACAACAGTTTAAAGCAAATACCCACACATACCGAACACTCCCTTTCATCCTTTTCTTCTAGAAAATGTGTCACCTCCATCCTAAAAATTTTTGCATCTTGGAGAAGTCGAATTGCAGAGAAAGCCAAAGCAACACTGTGGTACAGAACAATATTATTAAAAAATACTAATTATATTAGCCATTTTATGCTTTTATTATAATAGATGCTTCATTTCTGACTACATCAGAGATGTCTATCAGCAGTTATCAATTTTCGCCTCAGTAGAACAAAAACATTGCACTCTGAGTATATTCTGAATCTGCAGGCACTGCAGTATGAAAGTGAGAAAACAGCAGTAAGAGGAAAAGTTTTGCCAATAATAGAGACAACCTGATAATAATAGATAAGCCCAGATATATCATATTCTGTTGGAGCAATCAAAATAGAACTGCACTATAACTTTCAGTTACACATATCTCTCTTCAGGGATGGGCTTTTAGAAATTAGAAGATGTAAGAATACCAAAAATGACAAAATATATTAGGAGAGTTCTGTATCTCATCCACAACTAGAGAGGCAGGAAAACACCTTCCTCCTTAGAGCCTTTCCAGGCTATATGTTAATCTTTCTGGTAAATCCACATGACCAAATACTCAGAAGATCTTAGTAAACACCATTAACCAAAAATTGAGCCAAGTGCCGCCCTGACAAAACCTCATAAGCAATCACATGACATTGAGTCTGCTGTCCCCCGCCCCAATCATAAATCCTTTTCTGGAGTTCACTCCAAACAGCATCTAGAAAGATGCAGACACTATTAGGACTGGTGCAGCATTCAACCCCACATTTCAAAAAATTGTGAGTTGGAATCCCAAAATATTGTCAGGTTTCTTAAAATATTAACTACTAGGGTTTTTTTCCTTTTTATGCTGTCTTTTAAAGCTTTCAGATACACTGTTCAATTTTCATGACATCTATAGAAATGTATATCTATAACAGCAGACTTTGTGCATACTATTATTTTCATGATATGAAGACACTTGCAGAACCAACATAGTGAGATCTTTTTCACAACAGGATTTGTTGCCCAAAGAACATGCTACTCAAAATATTCTGAGAACTGCCAAAAGCCATGTCTCATGGTATTAGTTTTCCATCTCTAATTGTTCATTTTGCCCTATATCTGTAAATCTCTACTTTCCTACCTCTTCTCTAAAACATTTTTGGGGTTGGTTTTTTTTTCCCCACAATTCTACTTATTCTCTACCCACTGAAACATATTTTCCTAATGATGCAAAAGTACCTGAGGGTATCCCTAGCTCACGTTTTAAAGATTTTTCAGCATGTTAATTGTTAAAAATGTATAACCAAAATTGTCATCTATGCTGTCTTTTTACATAGAGAGACTCTCTTTACATAGAGACTGGCTGCTATGAAGCACAAGAAAAAAAATAATTTATTAACACCTTAAGTCCTTTTTACACTGCCAGAACACTGTGAAGAGCTTTTAATGCGAGAGAGATTCAGGCTCTGTATGAATTTACTGCTTTCGAGAAGTTCTAGATTAATTGTTGTAAAGGCAAAGTTCTTGATTCATGCACAAAGAAGTCAGAACAAGAGCAGCTGTACTCTGAAATTACATTATTCTGCCAACATGGATCTAACCACAGGATGGATAACCTCCCGAGACAAGAGGGTAGATAAAAGTCTTCCTGTCATTTCTGATTCTATCCTGCTTGCTGTTTTTGTGATGCAGAATTGGATGGATTACACCAGTTCAGCACAAATAGACCCCAAAGTAACAATGAGAACTAAAACTGTTAATATCTTGCCTTTCAACTCTCAGAATTCAATCCTTATGAATCTCCTTCATCATCCCTTTACCTCAGTTCTATTCAACAAAATGAAGCCAGAATAAATCAATGTTGAATTTGATGATAACCTTCTCTGTAACAACAGAAAAGAGGAAACAGAATTTGCTTATAAAAGCAAAAGAGACAGTAAGAATAATGCAATGAAATATTGTGACTGCTTTTCTTTTTTTTTTCATTAAGAAGAGTTTTCCCCTGAAACCAGGCATCAAAATTACAACAAAACCTGACATTTTTCAAAATATTGTTTGAGATGCTATGGCTAACATTTCTCAAATAAGTTGGAGAAGGTGCAGCACCCAAGAGTATATATAGGCTTTTAAGGAATATTAACCTAACTTCCTGAGCACCACTGCCTCCAGTTAACTGCTGTTGTCAACATTGAGCAATTCTGAAAATAAGGCCATTTTTACCTACATGCTTACATATAAATTTCATGGGTAAAATGTAGACCACAAGCCCAACGGTTCATATATGTATTGTTTTAAGCAGTAATGTATTCACATAAGCACATTACCATATTTGGGTAATTAGAAACCTCACATACTTGGGGGACACACCATGTAAGCACTCTCCTTGAGATCAACAGAATCAGTCCTATACATAAACTTATTCTGAGGCATAAATGTTTTGCAAGACAGAGGCTGTAATGTAGAAGCTTCCCTTGATGAAATTTTTGTGACCCTCTTCTGCTGTCAACAAGAGTGATGTGTCTATATATTTCCCTTGACAAAATACACATCCTTTTATCAGCTGAATCAGAAAGTGACAAGATGATCAAAATAGGAAAGTACAGCTGACTATAACAATTTCACCACTAAGCCATTTCACCAAAGGAAAAAAATGATGAATTTCTGTAATATCATGCAAAGTTTGATTTCTAGGCTGGCAGGCAGGAAACATTCAGCTGTCTGAAGGAATGTTTCATTTGTATCTAGGGCAGATATATCAGCAGTTTCCATGGATGGCAGTCCAATAAAATTGTAAAATAGGTTAAAAAAACCCAAACCCTTGCTTTGTTTGTTGGTGTAGGGATTTTTTTTTTTCCTGCTATCTGACCACTACCAATATATAAGGCCCATTAAACGCCCATCAAAAATTCGAGAGTCCAAAAAAATGATCCATAAAATGCTTGACATCCATTGGAACCCTTGATACTCTAAAAAAGTTTCTTCAATCTGAGACAATTTATAAGCCAAGAGAGAAACTACACTATAACTGCATGTCAAAAAGAAGGGTCCTGCACTGAAAATGGCTTGCGTACTGGAACCAGTTTAGCAGGTTGAGAAAGTTTGGGTCAGAACTCTACTAATACAGGTTTTACCAAGCCTAGTATCCAGCTAAACTGGGTTTATGCACATGATATTTCATAAGTCTGCATACTGGTCCTTACTTACTAATATAATAATTTTATAAAATCCACATGGCACTGAAAAGCATGATGTGGTCACTGTCCAGGGATTTGTTGTTTTCTCTTTGACAAATTAGTGGTAAATTAATCTAATTCAAAAGGCACTGAAATAGATTAATATTTCATGATGAGAAATGTCCACAAATAGCCTACAAGTTCTTACTTCTCATCTTCACTAACGACATTACTACTACATTATTACAGGCCTAATATCTGAACTTTTGGGAAACTTCTATCTTTTAAGATAACATAAACAAAACCCAGGTGAAAGACCATGCTACAGTACGCTTACTGATTTCAGTTCAGTAGTTTATACAGCACTGTGAAGTTCCTGTCCTTGTTAATTTTATTTTTTTATTGCTGCACCATAGCAGCTAAAAAGGAATTGTGCTATTTAAAGGCTGTCTAATTTGGAGGTTTGTTTATTCACCTAAGACATCTGGGAGAAGAAAGATAGCTTGCTTTTGACATCGAAGAAAACATTATTTTGTTGTTAATTGAGTAAAAAGGGAAAAGAACCCGTTGAGACTGGTTTGTCTGTTGGCCAGCTGAATCACCTACCACTTCATCAGTAAGAGCATTACAGCAACCTTCACCAGTATTCCAACCATAAAAAAAATGTTAATTCTGCTTTTTGCTTGGTGCTCACTATAATGTAAGATTTACTGTAATAATTTTGGTGTGTTTAATCAGATTAGACCTAACAAAAGTTACAAATACTGATTACATTCTACCTAACCTCAATATAGTTTGGCAAGTGACAGTGCTACACTGTCTGGATGCTGCATCTCTAGTTAACAATTTGTACCCTCAAAGATTTTTCAACCTAATAAAAAATTACATGAAAAGAGCTTGACACTAATAAAAACTATGTATTGTTAAACTACTATCCTTCTTGTACAAATTAATTTAAAATTACAGGTATGCTAAACAGAAGAATATTCCCAGCTAAAAGATCGAAACAATGTTCAGAATTTAACATCTACAAAGAGTTAATATATTTCTGTATGCCCTGTATATTTGAAGAACAGCACAATTCTAATTTCATTAAGTTCTCCAAAAGAAATCAGAACCTCAAAAAAATCACAGCATTTGGAAATTATAATTTGGAGAAAATATCTGGCAGATCATGTAAATACAACAGTATTTTACACACTATGACTAACAACATAATTAATGCCTGCTAAAATCTATTCTAATATGTTAAAGGTTACATCAATGCTTTTTAATCGAGTTAATTTAAAAAATATAATTTTAACATTTTAATTTGACAGAAATAAGTACATCAAGAGGAAATGTTCTTTTAGGGCAGTAACACAGGGCATTCTAGAACAAAGTAGAATTCAGTAGTTCAGAGATAACATTAGTGCTCTGCTGTACACTTTAAAATTATAAGAAACACATGACCTAACATATCCAGATGTTTACTTTAACAAAAACAGTGAACATTGCAGCTTTTTCTTTGATTTTGTATAACACTGTATCACAAAAACACCTCACAGAGAAATCATAAGCCAATAACTGATGATCTTTTAAAAAGGAAAATAAAGCAATAATAAAAAATGAAATGCCAGTGTAACTTACATTTGTAGATATACTACTGGGGTTGTTATGGCTGGTTACTAAGATTTAGGATATTAATGTAGACATAAAGGATTCAAAGAAAAAATTGCTGAATTTTTTTTTAATCTTCTGTAGTCAAGGCTGTGCGACATAAGGTTGTTCGTAATATTACTTACCTGAAAGCTGCTTGATGCCTTTGCTGAGAAATAGCAGCAAGCTGAAGTTTGGCCTCAATAAGAGCTTCTAAATCTTCAGCAGAACACCGAGATATCTCCCCATCGTATTTGTCCTGTATGTTCTGCACAAGATGGCTAAGACTTTCTTCAGCTTCTGTCAATAAAATCCCCTAGAGAGGAACACAGCATTGTATGATTTCAAAAAATAATGAAAAATAAAAATTTTCTTAAAAACTATTTTATTCTGTTATAGCCTACTATCACTGCACCCTAAAACAAATCAACTTGAATACAGTATGCCTTTTCTATAAATAGCAGGAGGGGGTAATTTTGCTTTTATCAGGTTTACAGATTCAATGTGTTGAAAATAGCAACATCTTAACTGTGCCTGTACTATTTCAATTTATGCTTTACTACATATTTTATGGCTTAGCAATATTACTCAATAATTTTTCATTCTTATCTTTATCTTACAGCTATACTTGATAATTTTATGCTATACTTCTTACTAGCTTAGTAATTTTAAACAATAAAATACAATATTAAAATACAACATTAAAGATGTTGCAAGAAGTATTACATTCTTTTCTATCTATACTTCGATGGATCCTTGAGTGCAGTATGTGTCCTGAAAGTTCAACTGTAATTTACAGTCTTTCTGACAAACAAAGCTGTAAGAAGCTGTGAAAACCAAATCTAAAAGAAAGTTAATTTTAAATAAAATCTCAATCGCAGAGATTTCAGCAGAATTAAAAAATAATCCAAAGGTTTGTATCATCCAAAATCTTTTTGACCAGTTTTCTCAATGAATTCAAAGCTCTACTTAAGAAAAAAAAAAAAAAAATAGAATAGTTAAAGAAAAATCAGAAGGGTAAAAAATATATTATGACTCTTAAATGAGCCCCATTCAAATTAATTTAACATTTCTATTTTAGTTATTTTCAAGATGCTGTTTTCAAGTTATTTTTAAGCTATACTAAAACTTTCAAGTTTCTAGTGTATGGCATATACCAATTGCCATACAAAATCATCCTCCATTTCTCCAGATGTGTTTTGTACATTACTTTGTTTGTAACAATGGCCAAAAGTAGATACTTCCAAAGTGGAAGTAATATGAAGAATATGTCAGCCCTCAGTTTTGGTCTTTTTGTGATGTGAAACTGCCAAGCTTGAAGTTTACAATTAAAGAAAACAAAACAAAAAATAAAAAAATAAAATAAATAAAATAAAAAAAACCCAAAACAACAACAACGAAACAAAAATCCTTCAAACAAAGAAGCTAATAAGCTGTGGTATATTTTCTCCAAAATAAAGTATCAGAAAGAGGAACATGAAAATTTGAGACATTTCACATATGGTAGAGAATGGTTTTCCATTTATTTGTAGAGCATACTGCCCCATCAAAGAGTCTCTGACATGTTCTACAGGCGCCACCCTCTGAAAGGACATGATTTTATCCTTGAAATCCCATTCAGTCTTTACCCTTGTTGCTGAAACAGTCACACTGAGATCTGATTGTGACAATATTTCCCATGGACATTTATATAGCATGAACTAGACCATTTGAAAAACTGCACCAAACCACCAGGACTTCACGTATGGCTAGTAAGATTACAATCAGATTAGAAACAGAAATTTCTAGTCCCCTTATTCATGCCATCGTCCCATCATAATTTCTGTTACATTGAAAGCATTAGAAATGTTTTTGGAACAATCTGCAGTTTCTTAAGCCTTTTTTCCTAAAAAACAAAATTACCTTCAGCATGGCCATATTTAATTCATCTTTACAGTGAACAAGCTGCACCGTTGTGCTTCTTTGTTCCTGTTGTCTTGAATTCTTCTTATCAGCATCAACTGTCAAATACATTTCAGATGAAATTTCAGACAACAGATGCAGAACCAAAGCATTCTCAGTAATTTGAAGAATGTGCCCCTTCTTTCTCTATTTATAATTCAGACTTTCAATATCAAAATAAGTGAGGAACAATGGAATACATCTCTAATACCATTAAAGATATTAGCTAAAAAAACCTTGAAAAATCTTAATGCTTACTATTTCAATAATGACTGATTTTTCTAGCAACATTTAATATGAATATTGTTTATAATATGACACATTAATGCATATGCAGCTACAAGTAGAAAAACCATGCTTGAAACAAGTTGCAGAATAAATGCACTTTTCCACCAACTTTATAATTACCTTTTACATTTGATGCTGTAATTCTGCTTGGCTTCTTCAAGCTGTTGTTATCAAGAGAATAGATGTGTTTTTCCACTTTTTCAGGTATATTATTTATTGTGGCAGAAAGGCAAATAATGAAATGCATTTTGGCTAAGGTTAATTTATTCATAATTTGTTGCTTGCACAGTGGCACCATTGTTAAAGACAGACTCCGATTAAATATGTCTTCCAGTACCTACAAGAAAGTTAACAATTGGGACTATTTGAAATGACATATTTTTCTTGTTCAAGGTATATTCTGCTTCTATTAATAATGAGGTTTATCAACAATTAACATGAATAATATTAGTAACATGCTCTTAGTCATTATGGATGAGTTGCTGTTTTCCTTTCCAAACTTAATTCACCCCTTAGTAGCACTTGCTACAGCCTCAGTGATCAGTTTTCCAGTAGAAGGTGCATCTGTGAAGTTATAGCTATTACTCTGTGTGAGTTCTAGTTTTCTGTATTTTCCTTGGCACTCTTTGAGCTAAGGTGGTCACAAAAAATACGTAGGTAAATCTGTAGTTCAGAAATCTCAACTCAAAGGAAAGTCCGTTGTAACAATTCACCCTAACTAGAAAGATTAAGCAAGGAAAAAAATTCTTGTATCAGACCGTTCTAGCATATTTCATAGAATCTTTTTATTATTCGTTATAGCATCCTTGTTTTATCTTGAGTTTAATATTCTCACTTTAGATTAATAAATTTAGAAGTTGAAAGTCTACACAGCTTTGCGAAATCATAAGGAGACCAATAAGAGCCCCATATAGACTGTGAAGTGTTCAAATCAAAAGCTCAAGATAAAGCACAACTTCAAAATAAATCTGAAACTAGTGAGATCAAAAGCTGTCAAGATAGACATCTCATTTCTGTCTTCTAATATCAACTGTTGTAGGAGGCCCACAAGCTTACTGTAAACAAAGGAGAGAAAAGTGGAGGAAAAAAGTGGGTTTTTTCTACTTTATCAGTTTGTTTTTATGGTACAACTTCTTTTCCACATTCTGCTAACATTTACCCCTACTGACTTAATGGATCTTGACAAGGCAAATGAAAGAAAATTATTAACACTGAAAAAACAAAAAAGAAGTCACTGATGAACATGTGATTTTTTAATTAAAATGAGAAATGGCTGTTCATTGACTGGTTTACAGATTCACCCTTTTTTTTTTCCCAGAAATGGACTTCAACCCCAATCTGAATTAGCACAAATCTATGAATACAGCTCTGATTGATAGAAATTATAAGGTTAGATAACTGATGTTCTCAGTATTTTAGCAGGATAAACAGACCCTAATAGCATGACAAAACCTGAATAATTCTACTAGTATGCTTTGCACAGACAAGTCTCAGATTTGTACATATTAGGTCTCCCATCTGAAAAACGGTGATAATAGTACTTGCCTCCCCCTTGAGAGGTCAGCCATAAAATTTAAAATTTAGGAAAGGGTAAACTGTTGAGGAGAAACGTTTCCTATTTACTGTTTTTTACTAATAGCAAGTATATTTTCTGAACCAAATAACCTCTAACTGATGCCAGAGAAACAATATTTATGCTTGCATAAAATTTTTAGCTCTTTCAGATTTTTGTTACCTGTAAATTTGTAACAGTCAGGAGAGATTTTGAGGAGTCAAATTTCTGTAACGCCTGTAAGATGGACAAAACCAAAAATAAGTTATGTGTTATAATATGAGTATAAAGTAAGTGAATGAATTAGCAGAGCAGTGGACAAGTGTAGTGTATTTCCAGCTGTATTTTGAGGGCTCTGAAAATACCAACAATATCTTGGCTTCTACTGGCTTTACATTTCTGAACCATAGCCCGAAACCCAGAACTATCCCTACACCTCCTATGCCATTCACCAGGATTCTTCAACTTGAAGCAAGGGGACAAAAAAGCATAAACCAACAAAAATTCTTTTCCAAATTCTAGGAGCTCTATAGACACCAACCATCAATTGCCTATATGTTCTTTACAGTTCTGAATCCCAAATCTTTCTCCAGACTTAGCACATACCTCCTCTGCTATTCACCAGATCACAGATCTGTGAATGGACAAAAACAAGAGCTACAGGTCAAGATGAACTTGAGACCTCAGCCTCCTTGAGGGCTCTAAAACCAACTATTTCTTCACTTATATGTGCTTCAAGTTTCTGAACTCTAACCCTAGCTCTAGTCCTTGTTCAAAAACCCTTTACCTTTTCACCAGGAGACAAATCAGTCTACTGAGGGGAAGGAAAAGGCAGCGGTAAAGATCATTTCCAGCCTTCATCATAACTGAGAGCTCTACACACAACTGTCACTTGGGTTCTGTATGTTTTTTATTAACTTTTATTAACTCTATACTCCAGATGTAGCCCTCTATCATCTCTGTCATTCCCTGGAACATGGATCCTTCTTATTCTGAGAGCTGTGCAAAAGTCCAGCAAGCACTTAACTTCTACATGCGTCACACCCTAACCAGAGACCGAATGTTGAACCTCCTCTGCTGCTCACCTGAACACTCACCTGTGAACCCAGTTAGAAAAAGACAAGTGACAAACAGACCTCATCCTAACAGTGTGAGCTCTTCAGACAACATACAAATTAAGGAAAGGACTTAAAGATGCATTTTAACCAAACTAGCATCAGCAAGGAGTAAATGCATTCCTTACTGTAGCCATGAACAGGGAAGCTTTGCAGAACCAACTCCAGTGAGGATGCTGATAACTCTTTATGGCTCAGCCTAGTGAGAATATAATGTAGCTTGTGCTCTGAGGAAAATCACTAGATTTCAGTTTCTTATCTTCCCATGCAGTTAGTATGAAAATGTCATTGGCAAATTAAAAAGGTCACCTTTTTTGATAAATATTTTAATTTTACTTTTTATTAAGTTCATGTTTCATTTAAAACCTAGTACCACTGCAGGTTATTCTAGGAGGAGCACTGGTCCATATTTCTGGTTTTTGAAATGTAAACATTTGACATCCTATCATAAATGTAATTATTCCCTTATTAATTAGCTTAGACATTGATTTGTTGGCTATTGCCAAAAAAGATACTGCTGCTCTGTGCTGGTTATAGCCATTGTAAGGCTGCAGGGTAAGGACAGTCAGGCCATGGGTCGGCTGGAAACTCCCTCTCAGGGTTTGGGGAGGTGAGAGGGGGGAAATTTCCCTCCAAATCAGCTCATTAAACTCAATTTGCTCTGCAGTGCCAGCTTCACTGTCTACAACACAGGGTAAGGGAAGCAAATGTGAAGTCATGGAGGTGGGTTAGGAATTCCCCTTTCAGCACCAGCCTGTAATTATCATCAGATTAGAGACATCATCCTATTGCATGTATAGAATATGGCTGTACAATGAAGTTAAATCGACGGTACTGTCAAAAAGGGTGTCCCTACCTGTCCCACTAGTCTTCTATCACATGTACAGTCCAGCTCCCTAGTGCTGGCACACATACTTGGTTGTGGGGTGACACCTACCCAAAAGCACCACCCAGATAAAGGAGACCTTGATTACATCTGTCCAGCAATAACTCATTAGATTGATTTGGCATGTGCTTGGAAAACAAGGAAAGGCTACATAATTGTTACTGGGGAGGCTTGCCCAATAGCTCTGGACTGTATCTGCCTGCACAGGTATGCTCACAGCTACAACAAAGAAGCCCAGGTCAATTGTTAACAGCTTCATAACCTTGTAGCACATTAGTGATCAAGATAAGATCACTACTTGGCTTTAGATATGGAGAAAATCAAAGAGAGTGACCTGGGTTGTCGTGACTGTCAAGGCTCTGAGGGCACCAATAGCTCTTACTGCCCAGCATCTCCTGGGGCTCCCACCACCCTGCCTACAGCCCAGGACCCCATGTCAGCCCCTCAGGGCCATCAGCCCCTGCCCCAGCAATGCCATGGGCCCCCTGAGCCGGGCCCACCCATGGGCCCAGATCCTGGCCCAGCTTCAGCCAGACCTTATGGCCCTGTGTGGCCATCCTGGGGCTGTGTCTGAGCCCAGTTCTCCTCACCAGGCCTGATCCTGACCCCTACCCACAGGCTGATGTCCTGGCCCAGCCTCGGCCTGTCCCCAGCCCCACAGAGATGCCCAATGCCCTAGGCTGGGGGCTGCCCCAGCTGCCCCTCAGCTGCCCTGCTCCTGGCTGGAGCAGTGGGAATTTTGCCATTAATGGAGCAAGAACTCTATCCATAATTGGAGCAAGAACTCTATCCATAATTTTTATGTCTACATATGAAATCACATATTATTTTTTCAACAGTAGTATCTGCATTACTCATTGTATAAAACAGACAGCATGTATGTTTTAAAATTTTTTTATTC